TTTGACATTTTTCTCAAAATAGTTCCATCATTCTAAGTACTAGAGTGTCTCATAAGTTGCAGAATAATCACAAAAAAAACTCATTAAGTCAAAAGTTGCAGAAACCAAGAAAACAAATTGAATAAGCTCTAGACATTGAGAAAAGATCATGAAATGGCAGCACTGTAGATGAGAGGATTACCGAAATGGTTTTCCTGAAATTTTTAGGGTCACTCGGGTCCTCAAAAGGGTAGGCTCCCACCAACATCACGTAAAGAGTGACTCCACATGACCATACATCTGCCAACTGCTCCACAAAGAAACATCATTTTAACCAAATAAACATATTAATATTAGAATTCAAGTAACAGTTACTTGCAAATACATCCTCCCCTCCTAAATTTTGTTTGTTAAAATTTAGATCTCCTGATTACCAATCGTAGTATCTCCCCGACACCTACGTTACAAGGTGTGTGTGTTCAACGCATATAAGAGAATAGGGGTTCTCTGTTCAACGGATTGAAATATCAGAATCTCTCTAGACACGTCAAGGCCATGACACCCATGTCACATGGACATCACAACGCAGTGATAAGTTGGTTTGAACTTTGAACACAAGGGGTCAAGGGGTCTGAGTATTAAATATTTATATAGATATAATAAGTAACTAACCCTCTATATTGCCAAGGTGTATCTGCAATTAATACTCAAAAGTAAATAATAGAAGCTAAGTAGTCTTGCATGCAACATATTTCACTTTGCAAACATTGTATATCCTTCAAATAATAATTTTTTTCTTGAGTAGAATGATCACTGATTATTACATTTACTTTTACTAACAATAATCCTCCACCTTATGATGATGGCAAACAAGTTGCTACGAGTGCTAGTTAGTTAAGGAAGATTCAACTCAACCTTGCTTGAATAAGTCAGATGACCTCAATTATTTCCCAAAACCAAGCTTAACCTTGGATTTGCAAGCATAAACAGCTGTTAAATATAACATTTTCCTTCCTCAACCAAACAATTCAATCCAGATAAATCAAGATGAACGGAGCAGATCTCGTCAAAATGACCCATCACATACTTTGATAGGTAGGAACATCCGAACTAGTTATAGATACTGACACGCATGCGAGCACGACACAATGGGTGGGGTGAAATGTCGAAAACGCCCCTCTATACCGCTTATTAATGATTGAGATTTCTCCTATAAATAAAAACTAGTTGAGACCTGAGACACCCCGCTCGCATGCTCGGCTTCCTGCGATGATTTTTACTCATACGTATTGACAACTTTCAATGATCTCCACTCCTCGTCTTAAACATTGTTACCCTTACTGACCAAATTATTCCACCCTCATGACTATCCAACTACCGAAAGCATCTCCTTTCATATCTGAAAAAGAGTTCCAGCCATTAACGGTTACTCCCACAAGCAAACCAAAATGGAATGCGGGGCCCGCTGGTCCTCCAACCTCACCGAATTCCTTAACGGGCCCCGCATCCGAGATCCAAAAACCAAATCCACACGCAAACTAAAGGGTGGGGGGAAAGAAGCTATTTTTCTGCAATAAAAAAATGAAAATAAAAATAAAAATCTCACCTTGCCATCGTACTCTTTCCTAGAGAGCACCTCCGGTGCAATGTACGCCGGTGTCCCCACCGTGGACTTGGGCCTCGAGTGCAGAACTGACGACTGCTCCACATCATTTCAAAATTTACAACCGTCCACAAAAATTTATTTGTAAAGTACGAAAGTTGCAAATTTTGAATTTGAAATTTACTTTCGAGTAACCGAAGTCGCAGATTTTGAGGCGCGGCGCCGGGCTACCGTCCAAGAGAGTGTTCTCCAGCTTCAAGTCTCGGTGGCATATTTGCTGACATCACCTCGACAAATCAAGATATTACATTTTAAACAGACTAAATTTACGAAAAAGAATTTACTTATTAGTACTAATTTTACAATGGAGTTTATATTACCATAAAATGGCAGTAGCTGACGCCAGAGATTAGCTGCTGAAAAAAATATCTCGCCTGTAGGGGGCGGAAGGAAAAAAAATCTAGTTAAGAGGACTTGTCCACCATAACAGAAACTTCCAAGGACTGAAGTAAAAAACACAAAACCTCGTCTTCGCTAAATCTTCCAGCGCTACAGATCCGATCAAAGAGCTCGCCGCCGGAAGCATATTCCATCACAATCCCCAGATGCGTCGGCGTCAAAACAACCTTCAAACTTCACAAATTACGAAAACACGACAAATTTTTACACAAAACCCCCCGAAGACATTTCCTCACCTCTTTGAACCGAATAATGTTAGGATGCCGAAGAGACCGGTGATTAATGATCTCCCTGGCAACGTTCTCATCAATCTGAACCCAAACCGAATCAAGATCAGAGATCAGAGAGGTCAGAGCTAGAGTTTTACTTGAAGTGGAAAATTACCTTTTGGCCCCTGGGGATGAACTTCATGGCAACGAGCTCCTTCGTCTCCCTGTGCCGCATCAAGCGGGCGACGCCGAAGTTACCCGACCCGATCTCCTTCACTACTTCGTACTTGTCCATTGGGGTTTTTTTTCCCCTCGAATTGGATGGAAAGTTTTGGGTCTTTTTTGCAAATTTTAAAATAGTGGCTGAGTTTTGGAGGAGTGAGATCGAAGAAGGGTAGAAAGAGACGACAACGGAATTATAGTTTAAGCGAGGGATCCCTTTGAGAATAGGATTAATTAATGGAGGGATCACGTGATACGTGGGGCCCAAGCTTGGAGGTCGGCGCGCGTTCTCGGGTCGGATCCGGAAACAGAGTTTGGATTCTTCTATTATCTGGAAACAGACGTACATACGGGTGCATAAAAATATCGGTGCATTCAATGATATGGTTACTAAACTCTATTAGTAATAAGATATAATTATAAATGTAGTTACCTGATAAAATATTCGGATTTATATCTAAAAAATTTAAATATATATTCAGCATATTGTTGTAATAGCAATAATCCCTAAGACACTGTTTGGCAGGGGATAAATGAGGGGTTAAGGTGGTTTAACCCTTCATTATTGTGCCAAACACCAAAAATCGCCCACAGAATAACAAACCCGCACGTGATGATTTTATCCCGTTTATCAACCTAACCCCAGGGATAACTAATACTCGTGGGAAGGCGGAACAAGGCTTGTTCCACCTTCTCACGCGAGGGTAGCCAAAGGAATTAAGGAAAATCGGGATTTTGTGATAATAGGCGACAGAAATCGACGAACAGAAATGGAAGGTAAGATCTTTGAGAGAATCCCTCTCCTACTTTCCCTCCTGATTTTCCCTCTAAATTTTCCCTCTATTTTTTTCACTAGACCGGTCTTTCTCAACTATATAGTGCTATTTTTTGAGGAACAATCAAGAAGAGAGAAATTTTCAGTCGATTGGGAGCAATTGGCGACGGGAGGCAAAGAATCTGAGGTATGTTATCAAAATAAATTCCTATTTCTTGATTTTCATATTCCTATTTTTTTTTATTTTCATACTTTCTCCTTTCCTTTGTGAAAAATTGAATGATTGGGAGCAATCAGAGTAATTTTGTTTCCGTGATCTTGGTTTTCAACAAAGTTTTAATAGGACAGAAATTTATCATGTTTACTGGCACTGGTTTATTTGAAGAAAATTTTCATGAACAAAATCTACTTCCAATTCTACTTTTAATTCTTAATCAGACATGTTCATACCTGAGCAAAATTCCAATTCCACTTACATGTATATGCCTATCTACTTCCGATTCTCAAATAAATGTACAAATGTAGATTGGCAATGTAAAATATAAGTCCTACTTTATGAGTTATAAAAATGATACATGTGTAACTACAAAAATGATATTGTCTTCATGAATTTTTTGGTTTTCAACAAAGTTTTAATAGGACATAAATTTATCATGTTTACTGGCACTGGTTTATTTGAAGAAAATTTTCATGAACAAAATCTACTTCCAATTCTACTTTTAATTCTTAATCAGACATGTTCATACCTGAGCAAAATTCCAATTCCACTTACATGTATATGCCTATCTACTTCCGATTCTCAAATAAATGTACAAATGTAGATTGGCAATGTAAAATATAAGTCCTACTTTATGAGTTATAAAAATGATACATGTGTAACTACAAAAATGATATTGTCTTCATGAATTTTCCACTATTTAGATGTCCTGGTCAAGTATACTGGCATAGGTTTATTTGAATATTTTCCTGAACGAGTAATAAAGTTTGTAAACATGAACAACATAATAAAGTAGGTTGGTTGTTGAGATCAATAAGCACTTGGTTAAAATTTAATAGGAGGTCATGTAAGTTTACATGCACCTTTTCCAGGATCATCAATAAAGATTGTGCATTATCAAAGCATCCCTGTCAATTTAAGATGACTACATCAAAAGATTATACTTACATGTATATGCAATTCTACTTTTAATTACTTGGTGTCAGATCATTTATACTTTTAATTCTTAATCATTTATACTTACATGTATCATAGTTCTTGACATAATCAATATAACAAACTGTCTGTTGAATCATAAGTGGAATAACAAACTATGTTTCTTTTGAACATAATGTCTGGAATCAATTAGTGGAATAACAAACTATGTCTCTTTTGAACACAATGTCTGGAATCAATTAGTGGAATACCAAACTATGTCTGCAATCATAAATGCACACAATGCTATGTGTGATTGGTGTTTTTTCATTTACTGAATTTATGGTTATGTACACCCTTCCTCATATTTATATGTTTTTTCCACTTACTGAACTATGTCTAGAAAATCAACATCAAATATGGTTATGAACATTTTTTTTGCTGGAATCATTTAGATGGTTAGGTGTTTATAGCAGTAAGATGACTACATGTATCATACAGACCAGGACAGGGTATAAATGACCATAACAGGACCGAGTATAAATCATTTAAGCTTACATTATTTCCACTTACTGAACTATCTCTGTTTGCTAGTGTTGAACATTATTTTTTTTTGATGGAATCATTTAGATGGTTAGGTGTTGATAGTAGTAAGATCATTTATGTGCTGGAAATTCAACACCAAATATGTGCTATATTTATATGTGCAGAAAGTAGCATACAGACCAGTTACAAAAATGATAGAGCTGGACATTTTTATGTAGCATACAATCCAGTTACACATATTTCTGCATTTTCTCATTGAAGAATAACCTTGTAACCCTTCATTTGGATTGTTATTTATAATCCTGTGAAACATCTCAGTTTGCTAGAGGTGAACATTATTTTTTGTGATGAAATCATTTAGATGGTTAGGTATTGATAGCAGTAAGATCATTTATGTGCTGGAAATTCAACACCAAATATGTGCTATATTCATATGTACAGAAAGTAGCATACAATGAACTCCATTTTTTAACTGGACATACCAAGAAACTTACAAATGCAACTGAATCTTTGATCTTGCATTGTTTACATAGCATTGTCCAGCAATTGCCTCAATTTTTTAACTGGACATTGTTTACATAGAATTGTCCAGTAAACTATTGACTTCGATTACAATTGACTCAATTTTTTGATTCAGTTAGGGGGTGTTTGTTTCAAGTTTTTTTTGGGATTACAAATTCTAGGATGTGAAAATGGGTTTTTTTTGAGTTATGAGATTCCAAAAACATTGTTTGTTTCCAAAAAAAATTATGGGATATGAAATTCTAAAACCCCCTATATCTGACAAATTTTTGCATCCCCTAAATCCTAACTTTGAGCTGGGATTTTGGTGGATGTCTGACAAAACTCAGTCCACCTCAACAGCCCAACTCCCATGATCCCTAAAACCGATCGATACCATCACCCCCTAGCCCATTTTCGTCTCCCTCCTCTTTTACCCGCTGTTCTTGCATGTTTTGATAACTTCCGCCTCCACGACGCTCTTTTCCCCTTCTCACTTGCTGAGCCTACCTCACTTGTTGAAATTGGTTTGGGGTTTCTGAGGCTACCTCACTTGCTGATCTAGGGTTCCAAGTGATCCTTTCTCCGACCACGCAGACATATCTCCTTCCTTTTCCTTCAAAATTAGGGTTTTAAAATACTTGATTTGGGAGTTTTTGTGAATTTAATTCGGGTTCAGTTGGGTTTAGAATATGCCGACAAATTTTGTTTGATGGAGGTCTGAGCTTTGTTGCTGGAATTGTCTGGGTTTGCTTGTTGACTTGTTAATGATGGCTTGTGCTTTAAACTTGGTTGCTTGTGATTTTGTTGCTGGAGGTCTGTGATTTTGTTGCTGATGGTCTGGGTTGCTGGGTTTGTTGCTTTCGATTTGGCTACTTACTGTTGGGAATTTCATGGCGATGCTTTGTTTTCTGAGGATGCTGTTTTCTGAGTTTTCTTTGTTACAAACTGTTAAACAGGATAATGTTATTCTCCGACAAATTTTTTAGTTCATTGTTATTATATGCCGACAATTTGTGAAATTGATTTGGGTTCAGTTGGGTTTAAACCGTGTACTAATTTATGTCTAATTTTGTCTAATTTAGAATGATGTACCAATTTATGTAACTCAAAATACAAAGACTTTGATATAAGCAGAAAATTCCTGGGATTTACCGTCACATCCAAGAGAATTTCTCTTGATCCAGAGAAAGTACGTGTCATCCAAGATATGCTACCTCCGAAGAATCTCAAAGAACTCAGAGGTTTACAAGGCAGACTGGCCTACATTCGGAGATTCATATCTAATCTCTCGGGGCACTGCCAACCTTTCTCTAAGCTTATAAAGAAAGGAGTGTCCTTTGTTTGGGATGGAGAATGCCAAAAAGCATTCGAGGAAATTAAGAGATATCTCACCCAACCGCCAGTTCTCGTGGCCTCAATATCGGGAAAACCATTCCTGTTATATGTGAGAGCCATGGACCATTCTCTTGGAGCTTTATTAGCCCAGAACAACGATCAAGGGCAAGAGCAAGCCATCTATTACTTAAGCAGGACTATGATGGGAGCCGAGCATCGGTATAATCCAGTCAAAAAAATACCTCGCTTTGGTATTCGCAGTCCAAAAGATGCGACATTACTTGGTAGGACAAACAATTCATGTCATTTCTAAGGTAAATCCCTTGAGAGTTCTGATGACGAAACCATCGTCTCTAAATTGCCGGCTCACAAAGTAGGTCATCCTCTTGTCACAATATGACAAGCAATTCATGCCCCAAAAAGCGGTCAAGGGTCAAGCATTGGCTGACTTCTTAGCCGATCACCCGGTGCCAGGAACGTCTAAGTTGTATGAAGAATTGCCCGACGAAATCGCTGAAGCTTGTGTCACTCGAGAAGCTATACAAGTGTGGAGATTATTCTTCGACGGTGCATCCAGAGCAAATCCTCATGGAGCAATTACAGCAGGAGTAGGAATAGTATTCATCTCTCCAAACGGTCACGTGATCCTAAGGGGATTTCCCTGATCGAGCCCTGCACCAACAATGTAGCCGAGTATAATGCTCTGCTATTAGGAATGTAATGTGCTGAAGAGCTTAATATTCGGCATCTTGAGGCTTACGGTGACTCTCAACTCAGCGTAAATCAAGTCCGAGGGGAATACGAAGTGCGTCATGAGGATCTAATCCCGTACTACTTCGTAGTGCTAAAGCAAGCTAAGAAGTTCGAAGGTTTCTTTATTGAATATATTCCACGAGCTCAGAACG